CGATCTCTGGGAGTTGTAGTTCGATTCCCTGTTCTTCAAAGGAGACCGACGACCGCCACCTCGAGAAACCCTGGGACTCACCAACGGGCGATAGACTGAACGGTGGCGTTGCAAAACTCGAGTTTGTTGTGTCTGTCAAGGAATCCGCGGAAGGACTAGCACTGGTAACAACCTGAATATAATAGAGAATACTAATAGAGGTTACGTGTTGAAAAATTTATTGCTTATTATTTATTATTGATATGTGTTTATATATGATCTTAAAAATATAGAAATATAAGACAAAGTTGAATCTTGAATTATGAAATATCTATAACACATTTATTATTTAGAGTTTAAATTAAAATACTTAGGTATTAATGAAAATATCTGTAGCACATTTATTACAAATTTAAATAAAAATAATAATAAAATTTAAATAAAAATAATAATTAATAATAGTTTACATTCACACCAAATTTTAATTAAAAAATTATTTACATTCACACAAAATATTAATTAAAAAATTTGTTTATAAAGATATTTACGGAAAATATAGATCTACGATCACATGACAAATATTGGCAAAAAATATAATTTGCCCTTGTTGGTTTCACGGGATTTTCTTTCGATGTGTCACATCGTATCAAATTTTAAACAAACCGTCACTTGGCATCTCATTAAACGTTTCGGAAATGATCCTAATAATCGGGTTTCGCCACGGCCGATGCGCGGAAGAGAAAGCGGAATGTTATCTAACCTGAAGCAATTTGGCGTCGATTTGATGATGTTGCTGTTGCTGTTGCTGATATTGTTGCTGAATCGTCTGTTGTTGCACGATGTGCCACGCGGTTTGACACATCGTTTCTTCTTCACTGCAGTCGTCCTTGTTCAGAACGCTGTTAAGATGTGTCGGTACGTTCTGATAGGTAATCACCTCGTTCTGAAGAGTATTTCTCACCAACAGATTACTGGCTTCCTGATAACTAGTTTCAGTGCCGTTCTGCAACGTACTTTCTTCTGAAAGAACGTTTGCGGCGCAGCTGTTGACAGTCAATCGGGGTCCTTTGAGAATTCCTCGCTTGGGCGGTTTTGGCGGTAACGGCGGTAGACACTTGCCGGTCTGACCGCCGGCGTGACTCGTCGTTGTCGACGATGTAGTCGTAGTCATCGTCAGAGAGGTGAGAGATGCCTCCGACGAGTCACTCTGCATCAAACCGTCGGGTGTTCTAGTAGTCCAACTGCTGACACCGGCGCTAATCGTCGAACCTGGACCTGCGTTCTGCGAGGCGTCTAAAAGATCGCGGTCCAGATGTGCGAAAAACGACGCACTGTAATCCGCGGTGATGCCACTCGGTAACTTTTCCTTCTCCTTCCGACGACCAGGAATTTTCAATGATCTACGGACCTGTAACAAATCGCCAAAGAATGACATTTTTGAGAACCTTTTCAAATCAGCGGTGCTGAAAATATGTACCATACAGAATCCTATGAATTTTCTCAAGAGATTTCTTTTATTCTTTGAATGATGCGATTGTAATGATGTGTTGTCCATGTTGCAGAACAATTTTGCAATTTTTATTTTTCGTTAATGTATAACGAGTATGCGACCAACACTTCTTATCGCGTGAAACCACATCCGGTTGGCGACGATACTGATCTAAAGAAAAGAAGCTTTTCAAGACGAAATTTTAATGCATTTCTACGCTCTTTATTTCTATCTAAAAATTTTCTTATTACCGATTAAGTTCCTCATATTGTCATCACCGATATACACACGTTTTTTTAAATGCACAGTTTATTAATATCAATTGACGAAAGCCAATGGAAAATTTTATCATTTCGTGATATTGATAGCACTGTTTATGCCGATATGATTTGTAATCTGAACAAGATATCGTTAACTTCGTAAGCAGTATCAGTATACACTTATTTTGTCACTACAGGACACGATAACCAATCGCGCATTCGTCACATGCTCAATATAAAAAATTAAACGACTGGCAAAGCTCACAATTAAGATATAAACAATATAGATTATAATAATGTTACAGTTTAGCGATATAGGATAATAGGAAAATTGAAAAAAGTTACAGCAGAGTAAGAGTTTCTTAATGAGGGTTCCCCTGCGAGATGTTCTTGCATTTACCTCGTCCAATCGCAGAAGCTCCTCCGCGGACATGCTGCTGCGATCGCGCTTTTTGACATCCTTCCGTTCCTTCTTTTCGCGCTTCCGCTTCTCCTTGTCGTCCTTCTCTGCGGCCTTCTTCATAAAGTTAAACATCTTCTTCACTCGCTAAACGTCCCAAGAACGCGAACGCGAGAAAGAGACAACATACGATATCTCGTTTCTCGATTGCTCGATTAACCCCACGTGACACGATCGCGGGCAGTCTTGATTTCTCGCACCTCGTAGCATATATATATGTGTGTATATGTGTGTGTGTGTGTGTGTGTGTGTGTGTGTGATGTGTGTATGTGTGTGCTATGTGTTACGAATCGTGATCACGTAGTATCAACAAAAAAAAAGAACTCTTGCCGCGACTCGCGCGTGATCGGCGCTTATTGGCCGTACGAGACACGCGGAGTCGCGCGCATCGTTTCGTCACCGCCGTCGCGATGCCCGGCACTCACGACGACTCGAAAACCGGCTGTCTGTCACAATTCGTTTCGGAATAGGCCGCGTCGTTCGTTCGAGGGAGGTTCTTCCAATGCCCCGGCTCGCCCCACAGCGCACCGGTGCACCCTATCGACCGGCGATGGGGCGGCATTCATCGGATTTCCCTTGAGATCGTTCCCTAGAAATTCATTCAAAAATTATTAGTCATACTCGCGAGATGCATCGCTAATGAATGCTACTTAATGGATCGAAGATCTGAGATTCGGAGATTTACTGCATCGAGTAAAGAGTTTGCTACCAAATGTTGAGTGAAATAATAATAATTTCAAAAGTTTGGTTCATATAGTATAACAAAAAAAAATTTTACCTTTTTAAATACTTAGCAATTATTATTAAATGATTATATTATTATATATATTTGGTAATACTTACTACTCTTTAAATCTTTTAGAGTAAAATCTCATTCCAAAAGATTGAAAATTGAGTCAGCCCTTGTAAGATGAAAGTACTCTTAAATAAGAGTGACAGATTTTTTTTCTTTATTGTAGGAGTGGGATTTCATTCTTTTGGAGTAAGATTTCACTCTTTTGAGTGAAAGTCACTTTTAAGAGAAATTTTACTGTTAAAAAATGAAAAAAATTTGCCATCCTTGTCCAAGAGTGAAAAATTTTCACTCTTTTTTCAAGACTGACTCAATTTTCACTTTAAAAGATTTAGAAAGTAAATGTTTTTAGAAAAATAAAATTATTTTTGGTAATAATAACCGAACATTTGGTAGTTATTAATTATTACCAGACTCTTTTTTCAGTGTAGGATGTCATTATAGTATAGGACTTTTTTTTGTATATGAGGCGTTTCACGTCAAACCGAACACCTTTGAAACATCGTCATTTTTATTTTTTATTTTTTTAAATTTGCTGACATTTTACAAATAAAAATATGAGACACGTGTTCTGCGAAAAAATTTGAAAAGTTCTCTTTTTGAGAAGTTATTTAAGTTGTAAGTTGTAAGTTGTAAGTTGCAAGCTTGTAAGTTGTAGAAATTCATAAAAAAAACGTCGCTTATGCGAACATTCAAATTATTATTTCGTCGAAACCAATAATCGTACAAAAAAAAATGCAAGAGACCGATTTCAAAGATCTTAAATTCTATGGATAGGTTATTTTTACTTTATCATTTTCAAGTAAATAAATCATTTCCATTTGTTTATAATTTTTATTAATATCTTTCATCATCAACTCACCAATTTAAAATTTGATAAAAATATCATATTCCCACTTCAATTATAAACTAATCCTGAAAATTTCAAAATGGAAGTCGAATAGATTGTATATTTAAAAAATTCTGCTGTGTGACGATGCGATTCGGCATACGCTAGTTTAATGTGAAATGCCTCGTATAACTCTTAAAGTATTACCACATCATTATATTATCATTGTATATTGTATATGCAGACATTATATGGTACAAGTAAAAAAACTTCACAAAGACAAATATAACCATATCCGATACTATTGTAGCATTTTTTTTATATATGATATTTACTCTACGATAATATAATGATATCGACACTGTCGTTAAAAGTTACAGAAAGTCCCAGTGCAGTTCGATCGATCGCGATTGAGATTGAAACTGGAATTGCGCGGTACAACGTTCACTTCCGCGCTCGACACACAGAATAAAGCGACTAAATTTATAGATGGGCACACTTCCGGGATCTCTTCGACGCGACGTCTGATTCCTCCGATTAACATCAATTTTGGACTTGGAGGTCCAAAATCGCTCGGATATGGTGCGCGCGTACGCAAGGGCGTGAACCGAAACGCTTCTTCATGGCCGGATATTTCTTCCGGGATATGATTTGATACCGCGAGGTATGCGGAAACGGAGCGACAGCTAGCACGGGCAAAGAAGCAACGATAAACGCAAACCGTTGTTCGGTGCACGCGTTCGGTCGACTCACCGCGAAGCGAAGAGGGTTTTTTTTTTTTATCCTTTTTCTTTCCAGAGGCACACCGAGCTCGCGCGAAACGCGCGAATGCGCTCCCCTCGCGTTCTCATCGCGTGATGCAGCCGCATAGTCAGCAGAAATAAAGAAAGTTGCCTAAGCTGTGTATTATCGAACCGATTACTTCAACGATTATCGACACGCGCGTTCTTTATTGCGTGAAAATTGAACTGACGAGGAAACGATCAGCCGTTTGATTTGGGGTTCAATTACGGAAGGCTGCAATTTTTTTCCAAATGTAACAGCGAGACGCAATCTAGCACATCATTTGCACCCTCGTTACTCGTTTACTTACATAGTCTCGCGAAAGACAATTAAGAAGCCATCAAAACCGCGGCCTGAAGATCTACGGGAGTATAGAAAATTAGAAAGGCGACAATTAACCGCTGCTAATGAAACCGCATTCTAGAGATTTTAATTGTACGTTCATATAGTTTCTCGTGCATGGTGCATAAACCGTCGGAGAGAAAATAATTTAAATGTAATCGGGCCGACGCGGAAGTGCATTACGCAAACGTTGATCTTACATCATTGAACTATCACGCTTGCGAGGAAGTGAATGACAGATCTGTGATAAAAAAAAAAATATCTGTATGAAGGATGTAATGTATAATATTATGTACGTCTATTCTCACGCGTGACGTTCACAATACCTGCGCTATTCGCGATATATATAACGACGCACGTTCGATTTTCACCACACCTTATTCCGCGTTTCTCACAGTTCAAGGGCGGCTCGGAAAATCCCGTCGGGCTACGCCGGCGAATCTACAGGCGTGCCGATCGATTACTCGAAGCCGGCGAATTTTTCGAAGCACGCGATGTGTCGCCTCGGCAAACCGCTCCGAAAATTCCGACGGCGATCGATGCCCCGATTTGCTCCGATTCGCGTATACGTAAACCGAGTTCGCTGCAAAGCGCAAAGAAAGCTTTACTGTCTTTGCTTAGCAGCAAAGTGAAAAGAGAAAAAGATTTGGACCTTTCCAACGGGAATTTATTTAAAAGATCTCAATCATATCACTATAATCTGTATCATCATAAATATCCAATATATCTTAACGGCTCTTCGCCGAGAAACCTTTGATAGAAGCTACGTATATAAGAATATACTGGCGAATCTTTCGAAGCATGCAACCTTTTCAGCGAGCCGCTAGGAATGTCTCGACCGCCTCGCGATCGATGCCGCATCCTCGCTACGCTTTGCACTTCGTTTACTAGCAATACTAGCGCGTGCGGTGCTCTCGCCTTCTCAAGCTAGTCTGATTCTAATCAGCGAAGGCGCCCTACCTACGGGGGGTTCGATAGGCCACATCGATCGATCGAACCCAGGTGGAGAACGGAAGCGTGGCTGCTTTGTATGTTGTTTAACGCGTATATCCTACACGGGCTCCGGGCTCCGGGCTCCGAAACTGACAGCGAGCGGATTAGCCGTGCGCGATGCGTGCGGCACGAGACACGCGTCACATCAATGGCATCGCCTCTGTACAACACCCGCCATTCGCACGAGCCACTACGACGCGCGCTCGCTCTACGATCGTACGAGATTCTCGGTCCGAGATGGTCAACGTACCCAGGTAGACTTCGCCTGGCAAACGAACTGATAGATGAGGCGCGAGAGCTAGTTTGCTGCGACACCAGCACCGTGACGGTCCAGCCGAGGTCAAATCTCGGTTGACCTCCTCGCGGTGCAACGCGCTGCAACGCGAGTACGTGCATCAGTCGGGGGAAGAAGTCAATAGCGGCGTTCTTTAAACGGCGTTACTACGACTCAGTCTCGTACTCGTTGCGACACGGGAGGACTGTCATGGCAGTCATGAATTGGAAGCGGGGCCGGTGGCGACTGCCAGCGCCTTCGGCCAGACAACGGCCTGTTAGCCAGCACCCTTCTTTTCCAGATAGCTACTCCAACATCGGCGCATGCGTGTATGGTTTTTAGACCTTTCGATCCATCGGCGGAGCACGGCTTTAGCGGCATCTTCTAAAGCGAGCCAGGTCTTTGACTTCGCGTCTAGCTATCACTTTCTGAGTTTCTGTAAAGATAGAGAGTGATTTCACCATCAGTCGATTGGAGAACCAAGGTAGTTGGTTACACATCTGATGACTCTTGATAAAGGAAAGAATTGGATTACTCGTAGCTTTAATGGATATAGTAATATGATTTAACAATAACTAAAAATGAAGATGACAATATCTATAATTAAGTAAATAGCATAATGCAGTTTACTTCAAGAAAAGAGGTACATATAAGATATATGGAGAACTATAGAATTGTTTTACATCAATAACGTTATTTTATAAAAACACTATTTTATACCTATATTTGTGTGCGGAAAATGATTTGCATTATTTTGATTGAATTTCCATTTATTTAGGACATCTAATAATTACTTCAATGTTCTTTTAAATTATTTTTATTTTTGTTACAATATCATTTTAGATTCTTGTCGATAAATATTCAATGCACCTCTATTCCGCCAGCTGGCAGCAGTTTTCATATATGTATGTACATAGCTTTATAATATACATGCATATAGCGTAAGTTAAAATATATGTATGCATATACAAACTCCAATTCTCTCACGGCCTATCAGCTGATCGCCCAAAGTCAGTAACTGATTGAATCTACCTATCATTAACCGATTGATCTTGCATTTACATTTCGCAGTGTTTAATCATGTTGTGTCATAACATCTTGAGGACACGTACTATCCGCAACAAACCGGCTATATTCACCTGCCTGCAATGTTTGGTGAATAACAATCTTAATGTGACGTTGAAACATCCAGAGCAACGTTTGTTTGTTTCGAACACACGTGAATGTACGATCGGCAATGTTCTCGATCAATGGAGTCACCGATTCGAGAACGAAGGCGTATCTGAACCAGTAGAATCCATAGAACATATAGTGGCGCACATTATAGGGATTAAAAAGGTATCCGCAATTTTGCTATTTTCTCATTTGTGACATTTTGTGATCGACGCTATTTAGCAAATTAGAAAGTATTAGTGAGTAGAAAGTATTTATGATGTACATTAGAGAATATAAGACAGTATAATGGAGATAATCTTTGCAAATAAATTTTAAAGAAATATTAAAACTTGATCCTAAAGATCTGTCGCTAAACTCTAAATCAATAAATAAAAACTGCTCTAATTCTCTTATTATTTGCAGATAATAGATATTTGTAATGTCAGAAATGATACTCTCAACGCGAGCCAGATTGAGAAATTGGAATCGTTATGCGAATGTCGTTTATCTAGGTAAGAGGCCCTTAAAAGAGGCCTTATAATTTACCATACTGGATTATTGCGCCAAGTCTTTCGCGCTCGCTTATGAATACCAAGTCCTTGCAGGATGCCAGTTCAGTATATTATTGGCGAATGGGATTTTCGAGACATTACCGTGAAACTTGTACCACCGATTTTTATTCCTCGCCCGGAAACGGAGATACTGGTAGATTTTGTGTTGAAAAGACTGAATTCGTCACAAGCTGATAGTTGTGAAATTTTAGAAATAGGTTGCGGCTCAGGTGCTATATCACTTGCTCTCGCACACGCTTGTAAAAAGGTATGCGAAATATTTTTGTTGAGCTATTTTTTTAGAAACAGGCTCTGATAATTATAATTGAAAATATGATATTTATTTTTTTTTTAGATAAAATGTACAGCGATTGATGAGAATTTACACGCTTGCGATTTGACGATGATAAATCGAAGCAAATTGGATTTATCGGAGCAAGTTATAGTAATACATGCGACTCTAAAGTCAGATGCGAGTATTGAAACCTTGAGTAACTTATATGATGCTGGTGATAGCAAGAGTTTGAATTCAAAACTGTTTGACTATGTGATTAGTAATCCGCCGTACGTGCCAACAAAGAAGATATCGGAATTACAACCTGAGATAAGAATGTAACGTGCAAAATACAATTGTGAATTTCAAATTATAAATACGTAAAAAATTAATAACATATGTATTATGTAGTTATGAAGATCTCCGAGCGTTGGATGGCGGTGATGATGGATTGAAAGTGATTAAGCCGCTCTTAAAATATGCTGCAAAAGGATTAAAACCCGGTGGACGTCTTTTTATAGAGGTTGACCCCACTCATCCCGAATACATACAATTTTTTACAAATAAGTATCCTGAATTAAAACTCCATTATAAACACACGTACAAAGATTTTTGTAATAATGATCGTTTCGTGGAAGTATCGAAAGTCATTTAAAGAAATGATTTTTGAACGCTATTTGTATTATTTTGTATATAGTTATTTTAGAAAATAATCTTAATAAATAGCACACATGTATTAAATTGTATATATTATCAGTTTTTAATAATATCTGATTTAATAATATTTGTGGCTTCATTATAATATAATTAATACATGAGTTCTGAAATTATAGAAGGAATAAAAATAATTGTAACTAAGTTTTTTTCATTTATGTCTTCCAACAAGCATGATCTAAATCAGGCCTGTCCAATTTGAACTCTGAAGCCAAAATGCAAAGCCATCGATGCAAAAAATTCAATGTGAGTAAGATCTCGGGGACTGTAAAAAGCGTCACTCTGCGTATCGACATTTTTTGCGTTTTGGCTCCGGAGCTCAAATTTGACAGATCTGATCTAAATGATAATTGGATACGATCAACGCGATGCTACAAACGCTTTGAAGCATTTTTTAATTGGTCAGTTTGTAACATTTTTTTCTTTTAATTAATCTATCAAACGCTTCAAAGCATTTGTAACGAGACTTTAACTAATATCGTTGATATGCCAAACTCTGCTGCAAACTTGAGAAACCTTAGACATTGCTATGTATTTATATATAAAATTCCATAAATAATAATTAATAGTAATGATGATAAATTCACATTTATAAAAAGTCGTTCATCACGTCCAATATATAGTAGGCATTAGCGCAGACAACCGCAGACAAAATAACTATGACCATAGCCAAAACTTTTCTATAATGCGTTGTATACAGTGCATTAGAGAATCAACCAATCAAAATTTTTCTTTTCTATAAAATGAGAAAAAAGGAAGAATTCTGATTGGTTGATTCGCTTATGCGTTCTGTGTTATGCAATAGCCTGTGCTGCTGCCTTAGGATATATCCACAAATTTGCATAGCCGCATAAACGATCGGTTCATTCCCTTATTGAGATCCAATAATCTCGATCCCTCACAACTTGCCAGCTCGCGTAATAAAGTAATCACGACAGTATCGCTTGGCATAACGCCGAAACACTACTGTATCTCGGATATAAATTTATTGCATATACTTTATCTGTGTCACTGATATAGGTACATATTTCTATGTTTGACGGATCAGTCAGTATTATTTTAATATTTTTTATAATTTAATCAGTCAAATCTTTTTATCGATGATTGTATTGCATTAAATTTGCAAATGCATTCTATGTTTAACGTAATGATATATACAGTGACTGATTAATAAATTAAATTCGGTGACAGGATTTTGATTTACAACAGTAAAACTATGATATTATTTATTTGTCATTTCTATAATGTTTATGCTTTCGTGTAAATATGAATACGTGTAAAATGTTCAGTTTTGCTATAATTCATATAATGGAAAACTTTGACGTCAAGTTATAAAATTTTGTGAAAAAGATTGATTGAATATTTACATTGTTTTTTGACTTACGCTTAAATATATCACTTCACGGACATTTAAGCTAAATACATCCTATTGTACTTGCTACTGGACTTTACTGGGATGAGAACTTTTCAAGTTCTTTTTTGATTGATGCGATTAAAGGTACTGCAGGATCTTCTGGTGAAAGTCTGCTATCTGTTAATATACGCCTGGTGTCCACTTCTGGTAAGTTTGGTCTATGAAATGGACCCGCGCTGAGTGGTCTTGAGCCCCAGGCACCGCGAGAATTAATTGATTCGATTTGTCCAGTTTCTAGAATATCCTCATCCAGACCTCTACGTGGCAATGATGTACGGGGTCGCGTCTTCATTTCCATCGTTGGCGTTGTTACTGGGCTGTAGAGTTAAAAAATTTTTTACTACTCAATTAATTTAATTATTTATTAAATTTATTTAATGTACAAATAGTGTACATATATAAAATATATATAGTAGAATAGTATATAGTATATATTATTAGTAGAATAGTATTGTATATATAGATAAAATACCTAGTAATTACGATATTATTTTTCTTGAGCAGATAAAACAGTTTAAACCGAATAGAAAAATCCTCGTTTTACTATTTCCTTAATAATTAATGAGGAATTAATAAGTGAATAATTAATTCATAAAAACTTGCGAATAAGCGTCCGCGAATAAGCATCTACGTGACAAAAAATAGTTCAGCATTACGCATTATTTGTGGTTGCATTCTTCCATTTTCCCCAATGGCTTATGGCTTGCCGTGTGCGTAGCAATCATAAGCCTGTTCTTTTTGGCTGAACTTTTGTACTAATTCATCTTTCCTCTTCTTTCCTCCTAGAGAGAAAAGGAAGAAAGAATTGATGCAAAAGTTTAGCCAGAATGAACAGGCCTCATGATTGTTGCGTAACACTACAAAAAAATGGTTTTTGTTAAAGTCTAACAATTTAGATAAATGCAGATTTAAAAATAAATTTCGTTGGATATTATCAAAATAATTATGTAGAACGCTCAAGCTATAGTTGCTAGAATATCAAAACTTTTTGCATCATTGCTCATCATGCTTTAATTTTCTATCATTACTTTATTGATCCATCAAAATTATTATTAGATCTGTCCATCTAAATTTTTTAATATTTCTGCGATAAAATTGTACTTTCCATGTAATTTCTTCCCGTCGAGGCATGTTTGCATTAGACACACTGATTCATGGACCACCCTTAATTAATTTTTTATTAACTATTAAGAAAAACGATAAAGAACTTTTCTATTCAATTTTACTTGCTCTACTTGTTTGCGAGAGATGTCGCGGTAATTACTAGACACCCCATATATAATGATAAAATATATGGCAAGATTTTCCACTGTAAATGATTACATTTAAGACATTTATCTCTTATTGGTTCTAAAAATAAAGAAATATACGTATTCAGTGTTACTAATAATTAATATAGCGATTTTAGACGTTATAACTGCAATTATTTGTTAGAAGAAAAAAAGAAGAAAAAAGGATACCTGACGTGGGCGGATTTGCCTCTGGTTTCTGAAAGTATCGCGAGTGTATCCGCTGTACGTGCAACTGTGATCGGTTGCGATGGTCGCTGCTCTTTGATCTTGACATCTCTGCTTCCGAAGAGGCTGAAGGAATCCTCGAGCAACTCGTGGAGTCTCTTCCTGGCGCGGCCTACGGGTCCGGATGGTAGATGGTACACTCCATCGGCATCCGTTTCGGACGTACCATTACCTTTAGACAAGTTGAATCTTTCGAGAGATTGTGTGAAGAAATAAATATTTCTTACATCTTACAGTAATCGATTGCGAACGAATGAGTTGGGGTAACTTTACTGTATCTTAGATTAAAATAATTCGTAGAAAGATATTACTTATTCGTTCGTAATCGATGCGAAGAGAAATATTGACGTTGCTGGAAGAACATTTTTAAATTACAGATATTGATATTAAACAGTTGGAAAAGTAAAATATGTTTACCTTCTGTAGAAAATATCTGTTTCCTAAGATTCCAAACAATCGGTCCTATAGCTCCAGGATCCTTTGAGGCACTCGATGTTCTTGTGAGAAACGTATCGTCGATATTGTCACTTCTATTGTGACGCACTAATTCTGGAGAATCGATGTCTAAGTGCCTAATCTAAAGTACATTTTATCATTAGTACAAAAATATAACTGATTTATATCGATCTAGTTCATTTTCCAAAAATTACCATGACTGGTTCCAACACTCTTGACAATGGTTCTACACTACGCATACTAGGAAATTGCTTGCACGATGGCATTGATAAATATGATCGTGGCGAAGCAGTAGATTCTTCTTTATGTTTTGCATAACCGTTCTCTAAAGACTCCAGTGTCTCTATATGATCGGTTAACGAATCCGGTGACTCAGCTCGGTCCATTGCGTTCGCTCTCATCATTTTCCCATGAGATGCTCTATATTTCATACATTAAACAATTATAGTATGTATATATTTTATCTTTTATTTACTACTTATATAATTAATTTATATAATTAGATTTTATATTATTATCAATTCTCTTATATGATCATGTAGCTTAGCATATTAATGATAAGTCGCCCCTAATTAGAGTAACTCCGATATATACGCTATACCTAACAAAAACTTAATTTATTAAGTATCATTTACTACTTTTGAAGTAAACTAATTATATCAGTAAAAACTTTGCACTGCCTACTATTATGAAAAAATATTTGAAATCCGAAATACTTATTTTTCGTATTAAAAAAAGAACTTTTTGAAACCCTTGCATTTTTGCCATATAGTATATCCCATAGAGGTGGGATATACGGCTTATAGAGGGGGGAGAGTATATATAGCTCATGAAAAATTTACAAATAACAAATAAGACGTAAAATGACACAATAACTTATAAAATATGTCTATAAAGCACTTGTATTTTGTATACAATATGCTTTACTATTTCTCTACACTTATATATCATGAAATAACCACTAAGTCTTTTAGGCACCCTATAATAATTATTTTATGTAGATTATAATTTATAGCGTTACTTATTACAGTGACAAATATCGATTCAACTCGCAATAATTTCATTAATATTAACAATAAGAAGCTGAAATCATAACACAATACTAATATGACATAAAAGCATGTAACAGGATAATTGCAGAAAAATTATCCCTTTCTATTTTTTCTAACTTCTGCGACGTAAATGCGCGGCGTATTTGCCCTACGTTGTCAGGAATTTTGGTGACTACCTTGTTTTCTTTGCTGCGTGTTTTTGAGTACTCCAAAGAACCGATCCACGAGTTTTCTTCGGTTCTTCGTCGTCGTCGCTGGAAACTTCGTGAATGCCTAATTCCAGACTATCGGGCGTGTCAGGAGTAATCGGAGTTCGGGATAAAGTCCGCGGAGTTTGCCGCTGACTGGTACCATCGGTCTGCGAACAAGGGTGGGTCGAAAAGACAATGATATCCGAAAAGTAACAATTTGCTCGACAGAGTAAGAGCAATATTTTGTTAGAATCGATATTGTCCTGACATCGTAGAACTGGATTATCTTTCCTTCTAATTTTCGACGTCGTTTCGTTGGTTGTTCGCGTGTCGTAATGGTTTTAATGCATCTTATTTCCCTATGGTACCCCATAACCTTTATATCACGCAAGGAAAGAACTTTAAAAATTATGAATTCTTTTACAAAAAATTCCGCTTTCTCAATTCCGATACAATTTAGCAAACGTACGTTTGGCCGTTTCTGTTACATAATAAAATATAACGCTCTGCATAAAATATAACAGAAATATAAGCTAACGCTGACTCGTACAAAAACTCGCAATTTTAAAATTCGAAAAATGATTTTTTTATTTAATTAATAGAAATAGAAACTATATTACACATACCTACCTTGATTTCTGTTTCCGATGTTGAGAATGCAGTGTTATCGAGACCGGACGTCGCGGTTGCGTATTCGCGTTCTTTTTTAAGAATACTTTTATTCGGCGGTGCAACGACAGCGCTGTGTGCTCTTTTTCTTTTGGCAGCCAAGATCAAACCAACGAGAACGAAAATTAGCAAAACGATACCCGCGCCAGCGGCACCAATTAATAGCCATGCATCTCTCCTTCTCGATAAAGCTAGAGGTCTACTCTCTTTCAGATAAGCTACGAGAAAAAATAACATAATTTATATGTGAGAATGTAACATGTTTGTAATGACAATTTTACGAAATCCTTTCTGATGAGATTGTTATTTACTTACGTTCACTTTGAACAATTACCGGTGCACCGAGTTCCAGAGCGACTTCAGGCTTATCATCGAGATGAACTGAATAGATCAATCTCATCGCACCTTCGAAAATGCTCGTATTCTGCATTCTGACTTTTACTACTCCCGGAATCGAACCGTCCGCTAAACGCAATCTCGAACGTACGCTTGTACTCGCATCTTCCTTATCATTAGATCGGCTTTTGGAGATGCTTTCAGCATTTAGTTTTGAATCAGATAAAGGAATTGGCATGGATTGTGGCGGGAATTGTTTGCTAGAATCGTCAATTGTATCGGGGACAAGATGTGTTGGATCGACAGTTATAGATTCATTGTTTTGTGTAGAAAAGGATTTTGTTTCCTCTTTCAATGTTTTTATGATCTTCTTCAAAGCGAAATCGTCTTTTGTAGATTTATCGTAATCGTTTGTTGCGTCAATGTCAAATACTGGCAACAACATCTTTTTTGGTCTAGGAATTTCAATCATTCTCATGGACTTGACTTGCGAAACATTCGAAAAGTATTTCTCGTCAACTAAGTTTCCAATGCTCGTTTCAGTTCTTGCGTGAGTCGTAGAACTTTCACTGGTACCAACTGTTAATTCGAATAATTGAGCTTCAGTTGTATTTGCGGAAATTTCTTCTTGCGGGACTTTTACTTGAGATGAAGTTTCAAAATGTTTTTGTATGTTCTGTGAATATTGAAAAGAATAAGGTAATGATGAGAGAAATTAACATCTAATCGTATATTATACCTTTCGGTTAATAAAATCACGTAATAATGCGTCTCTTCGCGATCGTGGATCCATCAGCACACCAAGATGCCATTGCTGCTGTCTGGAAAACGCGGCTCGATACAAACGAGCCAATCGAAGCTCAACTTTGGGTGGTACAGCTTCACCTGGTCGAAGAACTGTTAACAGCCAGTACCTGTCAACACAAATTTATCTTTCTTTGTTTTATTTCTCAATATCGCAAAGCAATATTTATATAGTGATACTTATAACGATATACTAAATTAATATAACAAACATATAATTATCATATTTATTCGTTCATCAAATTTTTTTGTCATTTAAGATTTTTTATTTTTCAATTAAAAAAATATTATTCTCTAATAATTAATTTACTTTGGTCCAGGATCATCTCCGATAAGAATTCCGATGCTTTGATCGTCATCGTCCAACCTAGGTGTAGGTTCTATGCACGTGACGCATTCTGGATTGTAAGTATCGGGACGATGAGACGATATGGGGTCTTTCTCATCGGTCGGGGTATAAACTGTGACAGTGTGAACGATTGTTCTTGTCTCGTAATATGTTAAACCCTGACTGGGATCCACCCATGGCGGCGCGTCTTCCAGACCAGTCCAAAAGAAATCCTGAAGATGCACCCGCCTCCCCGGCAGATGTTCGATCACGATAACCTCGTCTTCTGTACATTAACAAAAAGTTGATGTATTTGCTTTTGATTTTGTCGTGTGTATAACATTTAAAAAATGAGTATACGAATGTACATACAATATAATAAAATATTTATTATCAAAATTACAAAAATTACTTCGTCTGTGTTTATGTTTTAAATATCATTATCTATATCTTCAATGAAACGTATATTATAGCTATTGTGTACTTAATAATCTTAATTGATCATTTAATTTCTAGTTCGTATTAATTGTGTTCTCACATGTACGGTCTAAAAGATTTTTATTAATAATCTTAAATTATTGTCGCAGTTTTACCTTACATAAAGTATAAATAATTTTTATTTTTATAATTACGATAAATACTGATTTTTATAAATGATAAAATTGTGAAAGAATCTTATATTTTATTGATAAAAACTCATATTCTTCGAGAATAGAATAGATAAGAAGGGCAAGAAAACACGGATGTTTGTACGCGGAAGCTTTTCCAGGAGATACTTTGTCGATGGGGCCAATGACCGGCCATCATGCGACTTATCGGCGATGTCACGACATCGCTGAGGATGAGCCGATCATAATAAATGCGACAATAAAGACGGAGGACTAAATTGAGCTTCCTTATCACGCGATCACGTGATTGAAGATCATAAAAGTTGTACAAACCATTCACATGCGTGAGTAAAACTGTTTTCTTTCGAATTACGGATTAAAAATATAATTTCTGTTGTGTGTCGTTTATTATGTCATTCTAAGAATTCCGGGGAGTAATGTACTCTTGAGCTGAAAGTTTCTTATTTATTGTATTTCACGTTAATAGTTGATAACTGTACTGAGAGAAAAGTTTTTGATATTTATGACTTATATAATTATAGTATTAATCATATAAAATATGATTGGTCACAAAAATAATTATAAATTCTATTTAAATTATAGTAATTGTATTTTTATAGTAATAATAATATGTATATATAATTCTATTATAATTCATATAGTCGTTTCGATGATAACTATTTGTTGATAGAATTAAACGTATAGTTAGAATTATTATTATTAAGTAGTAATAACCATAATTAAAATAACTATAATCATAGTCATATAAATATTAAACAACTTTTTATACAAGTAAGAAGTTTTAACACGCGTTCAAAGCGAAATTGATTTTGGATATATTGGACAGTTTCAAATGTTGTAACTGGTCATCGTTCGAATTATCGATCAATTATGACACTATGTGGAACGCGTCCATGATCTATTCTGCTCGCGGAATTTTTTTCCCGTTGTTACGACGACCTGGTTTCACGCTTCGTTTGACTTTCCGGTACGGAAATATTGTTAAAGTTCCATGTATCATTTACAGTTTCGCTTTTATCTATGAGCGAGAGATTTATCCCTGTCTTCAAATTCATCTAATTATCAGTGATTGAGAGACTGCAATGGTTTTGTATATATTGTAAATATAGTATACGCTACATTAACATAAACTTTTTCTTTTTCTGCTGATGAACTTTATTCAACCATTCCATATATACGCAGAGTTCACAGTCACGCGGCATACCTCAGGTATTTTTAGTACGTGATGGTAGTGTTAAATCAATAGAAAACGGAGTTCCTATGGTGAGAATGAGTCGAATTGATCGCTATTAACCCCCGTAATACCGCACTGCTCATTCCATTACATTCTCGTTGATATTCTCGTAAATTTATGAATAGTGAAGTGCACTGACATTTCTACGACATATACATGATATCAAATAATCAGTAGTAAATATTACATCTGACACAACTTTTAAGAAAAATTTATTTTTATGGTATACTCATATTTTATGTACAAAAATATTACTAACGATAAGTTATGACACAACTTATTGTACATCTTACCGCAAAATAAATCAGAATAGTAACATCATATTCGCGTATATATAAGCACCCTGATAATAATATCGATTATGTAGCGCATACACCTGCATAAGAGCGCTGAATTACTTAAGTTGTCTCTTAGACTGGTGTCTAGTCGGCAACTAGTTCAATTTCGAGTAACACGAGTTGGTAGCCCATTGATAACAAGGTCATGGAAGAATGCACCCTGCGCGGAAATGAGATCACGGAGCGCGCAGCACATCGCTTGTGTTTTCACGTGCACGTGTATCAAATGATGTGAAAGAAAGGTTTCGAATCGATCGAGCACGTGGAGAACCACTTATATGCGACCTGGCTGATTCACACGCCTATCTGTACGCGCGTAAAATTTACCGCGTGATACTATGGGGTAAAAATATGCAACTTATTCGCGTAGGATTCGTATTTATATAATAATTTCAATAAGATATAAGAGCAGTAAAAGAATTCAAAATGCTAAGTGGAGCGATTTCTTTAGTGAGATAATTCTGCATTAAACTAAAAAGGGTAGTAGCGTTCTGAACAAATAATCGATAAGAGGAAATAAATACAAAAAGGTTTGAATAGAACTAAAATCAAGCGCAATACGAATCTAATTACAAAAGTAAACACTCGAAGAGGTAAAACGATATGTTTTCATATCTTTATGTGTATCACTATTTTTGTATATGTCCATGAACTACTTTAAAAATACATCGCACTAACCGGCTCCTGGTGGCATGGACGCGAGCACTCTTATGATATTGGAATTTTGCAGTAAGAAAATTGCAATCTGCACGACGGTACCGAAAGACGCGGATAGCGCTCCACGCAGTATACTGCATAGTAGCATCGCGTTAAGCGCTCCCCGCTATACTGATTTGACAATACTATGGGGTGTTCATGGATGAGTGAGAGTGTTAGAGCAGAGTAGAGCCTGCGCAGAGGTTACGTGAGTGAAAGAACTGATATGTAACACGACAGGTGGATAGAATTGAAGAAAAAAATAATCATTGACAATTAAGATATATTATTTTACTCTTCTTCTTTTATCTGTTTGTACTTGTCGTTTTTATGTGTAACTAATGTGTAACTAATGTGTAACTAATTTCCTACAAAGTTATGAGTTTATATCTTAATCCAATTTGACTGTAATCCTTTTTATCTGCTGTCGCTATGTCATCCATGTGTACTAACAATTACTTTATGTGTCTCGTTTACAAAGTTTCCTTTTTGATAATCGATAAATTAAAATTAAATCTTGACTAAGATTATTTTTGTTATTTTGAATAATAAAGTTTTTAATGCTTATAATAAGATATTTTAAAATAAAATAAACATAAAATTAAATTGATTTAAAAAAGTTTTTTGGTGATATTTTAATTTTTAGTCATTTTTGAAAACGCGTTAATTATTGTTATAACATTTATTTTTAGTGCCCAAAATTTATCGTTTTTAACGACAACATAGTCTTCAATATATATTATTTTAATATAACAAAAAGGTTTAAATAATTTATAAAATTACAATAATGAAAATAGGACTACGAGCTAAGCAAAGACTTGATGCTATACAATTATTAAAAACAAACAGTTCATTAGCACATACGACCCTGATTGGATCATTTTCAATAAAGTTAAAATAATAAAATTCAAACGGAATTAACTAATCTTTAATAATAATAATAAAATATAAAGACATATAACATAATTATAAGAAGCAAATTATAAAATCTATTCACAAATTCTAATTCTAATAGAAACTCTTAGTCTTAATAATTTACAAAACTTTTTAAATAAATTACAAGATATGAAAACCAAAGCATATTCTAATAAATGTGAAAGAATTTAGTATGTAATGCATTATCTCACCTATGTGTATTAAAATATTATAAGAAAAACCTCAAATAATTTATAAAATTACAATAATGAAGACAGATGCTAATAAACTATTTTTTTTTTAATAACACACACACATAGCATCGAAACTTGCTTGGCTGCTATCTTCATTATTGTAATTTTACATATTATTTTATTTTATTTTATTATTTACCAGTTTGTTGTTTTCGATATTTAAACATTAAACATTACTAATATTTTTAATTCATTTATTTCTTGATCACAGCTGCAACTTTGCAATTTATTGTTTAGCATTATAACGTAATTATATATAAGAGAGATCATATATAATTTGATATAAAAGAGTTCTTTTACAACTATATAAATTTTTATTTTTATTTAAACTTTATTATTTTATCGTAATTTATGTATTTCTCTATCCTTAGCCTAAAGTTTTCGTTTTCACACTATTAATAATGCTTTTCCGTTCTCTCATATAATAGACACTTATTACAGTTTAATGATTCCACTATTTCCTATACTCTGTTTTTTTTTGTACTCCAGGCGGATTTAAATCACGATTCAATTATTTCTGACATTCATTTGGTACCAATAATGACTCTCATTTTAAATGATTCAGAATAATGATACAACCTGAGATGCTTAGAAGTTATTGATACGCAAAGTAGGATACTCGTATTTTATTCATTAATAGCTCGGCACACATATCAATTTCACAGCGTAACTCTCTAGACCCACTAACCAAGTGAATAGCATTACTTTTTAATCTCATCTTTCACAGAGAAATGATTGTTGATAATTACTACAGTATATACCAATTTCAGAAATATTTTCATGATTAAGTAATTTACATAACTCAAATGAATGTATAAGTATTTAATTAAATACGATAAAATGTGCATACGTAACATCAAGTTTACATTTACTTTCAATTGTGATCTAAAATAATAACTAGCATTACTGTAAGAGTAATTTTAAAGTAATGCTCTATCGTAACACAACATTAAATTAAAATTACATTGCGTAGGCTTCTATAACATTTGTGGCGTTGCAAGTTAGTTGCGGCGCTGCGAACGTTCGTCGCTGAAGTTAGTTTTTCTTTTCGGCTCTTCCTCCTTTCGTTTTCTCTGTCATGGCGTACTGCGTGCGGACCTCGTATAAGTCTCTGCGATAGTTAGTAAAAATGATTTCCCGCCAATTGTCCTTCGCCGTTAGTTGGTCATCGCTCGGCGCCATATTGGGCATAGCAGCCGCACCAATAGCCACACGTTGCTGCACAGTGCTGCAATCTATTACCGAATTGTCGAAGTTACACAACTTCATACTTCTTGAGTTTGATATGGTTTATTAATCAATTTTGATCACAAATATTTATGAAATTATAATTTAATAAATATGGATGAGAGAGAGAGAGAGAGAGAGAGAGAGAGAGAGAGAGAGAGAGAAAAGATATAATTCAATAAAATTTATATTATTTTTAGCGTTATTTTTCTGACATAAAGGAAAATTATTTTTATAGATATATATATTTCTTTTTTAATATAATGCAATTTTTGCTATAATATTATTTATAAATATAATGTTTTATTTTCTTCTTTATTACGAAATATTGATTGTCGCATCTTATTATAGACTTCGGAAGCAAACTTCGGAAGTAAATTTACGCATGGTTATTTTTATTGAGGATTACCGTGTGTAAGAGAAAGTGAAAATCAGGAACTATGAAGGTACTAACAGGAATAATGCAAATTAAATCGCATGACCTCATGCGATCAGCGAAATGTCAGGGCTGCGGGTGAGTCTTAATGCTCCTCCTTACAGATCTTTCTTAAGTTAGCTTAAATCGATGGCGAACCAGTCATACTTTAGGCTGGAGTTCACTAGTGAGCGTATATTATTGATACAGAAATTTATATTCCATAAATTTACAATTGTATATATTCTAACATTGCTTTATTTCTTTATTAATGTAAGCTACTTTAATATATTTTATTGAAAAATATTATCTTAAATATATACACATTACTCTTTCCTTTACTTTCTTATATCGTGCATGTTTTGTTTCGTTTTTAATGTCTTTCTTGCATGTTTTATTCCCTTCCTTTATTTTATCCTCGAAACGTCTCATGGACGCCCGTTCAATCATGCGATTTTACATTACGTCATACACGTGATTTTCTACATCTTTTCTGTACAGTACAGTGATAAAAAAGATTTTCCATTTTTATCGAACAAATTATTAAAGTTTAATTCAAGCTTGGCTAACAATACTTGCAACATAAAATTCAAAAATTGAGTTCCACTATGCACACAAATGACAGTAAAACGACATCGGTATGAGTAATTTTATTGTTTAGCAGCGGTATATTATTTCCACCGTTCCCACAAATAGTTTGATCTTTTAAAACCATATACTACACCAGTAAATTTATCTCATCGTTCCTCTTTTATTTTAAACAAAGGGAATTATGATTTTTTACATAAGCAACAAATTCCGAAATAGAAACACGTCTTTATTTGAACATACTCATTTGCAAACAAATTTTTTCATTTTTAATTTTAGTAAGTTTTAATATTGAAACTTTCTAATTTCAAGAAGGGCATTATGTTTCACAATTTGCCAGCAGCTGCTTCATATAAGCTTCGTGCGAGTTCCATTATCGACCGCGTGCACTTTCTCAATATATTTTATTTGAACGTCATCGCACTTCATTTAAAGTCCCTTCCAGTTTTGCGTATCTTTACTCGAGATTAGGTACCCAAACACCTTACATATGTTAAGTTATGTAAACATATTTCTATGAGCGTTTCAGAGCGCGGCAATCGCTACAAGCCGTTACTTTGATTAGATTGAACTTCCCTCTGTGTGATGCATACGCCGCTATAAAATGGTAGGCTTCCTGTCTCAAGAAAATAAACTCGTTTTATGATAATTTATTATTTTCTATAAACATCCTCAAATAAATTTTTCATTATTTGTCACTCTCTTAAGAATCTTTTAATTTCTTCGATTATGATGACCGCTTCAATTGGATAAATGTTGATACTTATGTAAATCTTTTAATGATGTTAATGACATGTATTCTGCCTTTATAATTCTAAGAGATTGTAAAAGTACTTAGAAAGTATTCTATTATATATAAATACAATTATTAAGAAAGGAGATAGATAGGTATAGAATTTACGTATTTATAAATTATATATAATTCAAGTTGAAAAGAAAATATCACGTGCGATCAAATGGTGAGGCAATATTTACATCAATTGATGATTCAAGCAAATATTTGTTAAATCGCTGGATAAACCTTGGATATCGTATGATTCATTGATCGAGTCGATTAAAGTTGCAAATTAAATGATTGTGCAATAGATATCGTTTAAATCCGAGTAAACTGTCCATCAATCTTCTCATTTTTCTCGTGATTTCTCTGTATCTATCACCTTTGATATGAAGCAGCTAATCCACTTAAAATCATCGATCACCAATCTTTGTATTCTGAAGTATCTGGCATCTGATGAAGCGAGCCTGTGATGTCTATATACGGATGTAAGTGCGGAGGGGAGATGCGCTCTCGCAGAGGCTTTATTCTACCTCTCTCCTCCCTCCTCTCTTTTTCTCTTTCTCTGAGCGTATTTTGATGGAATTTTTAGTAAATAACGTGAGAAGAGAGACCCAAAAGGGACCGATAAAATTTTATATCTAATAAAAAAGAAAATCATAAAATTGGTCGTCCTTTTTTCCTGTCCCTTCGTTTACTTTGGACTTGTATTCCACCACGATCGGTGCAGCAAAAGTCCAAAGAAAGGTACAATAAAATACAAGCAACATAAAAGGTAGACATGAACAGGTAGATAACCCGAAAGGTAGAGAGAGAGAGAGATGTCATTGGAACAGACACGAGAAAGAGAGAAAAGAGCAAAGGGGCGGGTGGAGAGAGGAAAAGAGAGAGGAAAGTTCCTCTCTCTTTCTTCTTCAAAGAACAGGCGAGAGGGATTCG